ACAGCCTGGGCAGGCCAGGCCCTGCCTCCCTTCTGGCTTCAAGACTTGCCACACAGTGTGGCCACCCTGGCCTTTTTTAATTCTTCAACTATGACAACTTCTATGGTTGATGTAAATCAGTCTGGCTCTCATTTGCTGCATAACAAACTACCTCCACACTTAATGGCTTACAGCAACAGCAATCACTCACGAATATGCGCTTTGGGCCCTGCAGGGTCGGGGAGCCTTGCCTCTGCTCTGCAGGCCTCAGGTAGGGTAGTCGGTTCAGGGGGGACTGTGGGACCTGCTTCCAAGAGGAATCAATCCCTCAGCTTTCAGCAGGGAGCGCCACTGGGCTGAGGAGGTTGGGGGACTCGATTTTAGCCTGTGTTTCCTCAGAGTGTGGTGTTTGGGTGTCAATGGTGAAGACCCAAGAGAGAGCCAACAGAAGCGGTACTGTTGATCATGACCCAGCTGTGGAAGTCACACAGTGTCCTGTCTGCTGTATTCTGGTCATTGAGGCAGTCACAGAGTCCTGCCCAAGGTCAAAGGAAGAGGCACAGACCTCACATCTTGATGGGGACTAGCAAAGTTCTGGAGCAGCAAATGGGGCTGGAAATATCGTTGCAGCCATTTTTGGAAAATGCAATCTGTCAGGAACATCCGTCACTGATTTGTTTTGGATGGCGTATGTGTGTGTGTGTGTGTGTGTGTGTTTCAATCCTGTGTTTATATGAGCACCAGATAATAAGTCTCCCTAAAGTTTACAATATTTTCTTATGTGACTTTGCACACTCCTGCTTTCTAGCACAGTAATTTACACGGAGCTAATGCTTAATTTAGCACCTGATTTTATGTGAGTTGTAAGATATCCATTGATGAATCAATTTTTAAAGAACTAGAATGCCCAGATCTTATTTTAAAACCACCTGTACGTAACCTTATCTTTCTTCGATTATTCAGGAATTGCTTTAGAACCCTGCAATTGTTTTCCAGATCAGTGATATGAATTTCAACCATCACATTCCAGTCCTCAGAGAAAACATAGAGTGCTGATCATTTATACTTCCTGTAGGTATATTTAGTGTGGAAATGAGAAAGGTGGTGTGTCTGCTTTAGTGTAGTGCTATCTCTAGCTAACACATCAGGATCCTATGGCAATAGACTCGGGATTCAGAAGATAAACTACAAACCAAGTCCTGAAGTTAAAGGGCATAGCATCAAAGATGTGATTCTGCCTAAATCAGATGCTAATATTTCAGAAATTGTAAACACTTAAAATGAATCATCGGGCTTGTATGAAGGATTCAATGCAATAGAAGGTTTGAAATAGACACATCCAGTTAGCATAAAAACAAGCAACCATCTACATATGTTATTCAAATGTTGAAGCCCCAGATTAAAAGATGTCAAGAGCATGTCACTGCCAGTTCTCACACTGGAATTATTAATAAAGGGATTATTCTTAAAATAACTGCCAATAAACTCCCTGGTTCAATAAGCTTTCTACTTTCGCAGGAAGCCTTCCATGAACTTTCAGAATTACTCAGAACCAGATGAAGGGCAGGTTTATTTAATTACAAATTATATTTTCCTACTAATATGTCTTTGGTTAAACAAAACAGTAGAGCAATCTATTTGGATGACACAATGTCATGCAGAAAGGGTAATAATGGGTTAAAAACTAATACAAGGAGAGGAGGAGAGATGAGAGTTCTGGGTTAGTAATCTGGGAACTCCAGCTGTGCATTGTTCCTGGTGTGGGAATTCCACCTTCTAACTGTTACTGGGGTGCTGTTTAGCCTTGGGCAAGGCACTTCCCTGGCAAACCTCGGTTTCCTCTTCTGTAAAATGGGCACACTTGCCTGTTTCAGAGAACTAGTGTGAGTCACTGACGACTAAGGCCTGCGCACCTGCTTTGGGAGATGTGCACCTGCTTTGGGAGATGCACAGCATGACCAGGGTCACCTGGACGACTTCTTAAAACACAGATGGCTGGGCCCCACCCCCCAAGTTTCTGATTCAGCAAGTCTGGAGTGGAGCCCAAGAATTTGTACTTCTAATAAGTTCCCAGGAGCTTCTGGTGCTGCTGGCTTAGCACCACCCCGTGAGAACCCCTAGTCTACATCACACTGGGCTGGTGGGTGACTGCCTGAGGTGTGCCTGTCTTCTCTTCTTCGAAGGACACCAGTCATACTGGACGGAGGGGTTGCCCTACTCTGGTATGACCTCATCTGAGTCCCATCTTCAAAGACCTTATTTCCAAATAAGATTACATTCCGAGGTCCTGGGGGTTCAGGCTTCATTTCTTTTTGGGGGACAGAATTACCAAAACATCCTCCAACTCCAGGAAAGCCTTCAGCTGAATGCAGCCCCATGAGAGGCCTTGAGCCAGAACCACCCAGCTAATCCACTCCCAGACGCCTGACCCACAGACACTATGAATCACTCATGTTCATGATTGTTTTAAGCCACTAAGTTTGGGGTAACTGTTATGTAGGAATCAGCAACTCAGTCAAGGAAGGAGACTTGGCAGTGAAGACTAAGGTGTCCAGTTCTGCTCACACATCTTCCTGTCATATCAGCATTTGGTTTCAATCTGGGCCTTTTTGCACAACATTGCACACTATCACAACTTTTTAAAAAGGTTTGCAATACATAAATCCACTTGGTTGAGAAGACGTTGCTTCATTTAGTGGGTGTTTAATGGCATTTCGGAATTTCATTGCAAATCCAAGTGGCTGACTCACCCTTGTCGCTCTCTGAGCAGGGCCTCTGGGCCAGGCCAGCACTCTGACTGGCTGCTCTTGAGTCACATGCAGTGGCCACAAGTACTGAACTGGGCCACCTGTGGGTCAGAGGTGGCCCAGGTGGGTTTCCCTCAGCAGTGGCTGCAGGCAGGCTCTCCCCTGGGGCGCTGGGTAGATGCTAGGACTGGACAGCCTGCAAGCAGGGTGTGGTGTGCCTTCTCTAGGAACCGGCCTTTTTAAGTCCCGTGTGCATACAGCTCATTTGTGTCTCACTTCCTCTGCGAGGAAAACCACAGACTGGCCCAGCTGCACCTACATGAGAAACCACATGGACCAAGCCACTTCCCCAAGTCTGATTTGACCAAAAATACATTTCATTTCCTGCCTCTGTGTTATCGTCAAGATTGCCATTTGTTTCCTGAATTTCAGGATCACAGTTGACAAAAGCATATCACAACCATTAGTCATAGGTGTATATTTTTTTCCCTGAAAATGATTTTACTCATTTTCCCATCCTCTACTTTGTTCTGCCATCTGCTTCTTTTCATTGTAAACAATCATTTTGTTTTACCACCGTTACTTCGTTCCTCCTCGTTTCTACTTCATGGACAATTTGTTCTGAATCGTGCATAGGAAGTAGCTCGGGAAAAGTCCTAGTGCTCTGCTCCGAAGGGCGGGATGTGCATCTAGCAGGACAGTCATAAATGGTTATTGGCTGAAGAGGTTCCACCGAGTCTGTATTTGGGACTGGTCTCTCTCAGACCGATCTGAATCATCTTGGCTTAAAGCAACAATATGCATTTTTAAGATACTTTCTGTTCCCTGGGGTTTGGGGCAGGGTTGCTAAGTGGGTGGCAGCCAGCCACAGCCGGAGCCACATGCTCCCGCCAGCTCAGCCCTGCACCAGAGAGGCAGGCCAGCTCTGTTGTCTGGTGGGAGAGGTCCCGCTCCGGCTCCAGGGGGATTTCCCAGGGCTTCCTCAGGAATCTGAGCTGTTCCTGCTCATTCCCTGAAGCTGTGACTCATTCCAGGCCTTTGTGGGACTAGCAGTGAGTCAGAAGTCAGCAGGGACTTCGCTTCTTCCCACACTGACTATTCAACGCGCGGTCCCCCGATGAGAGAACTGGGGTATTAGGAGGTTTAAATAGATGGTCCAAGGTCTGTGTGGTGGCGAGTAAACAGTGAGGCCAGGACAGTAAACCCGGCCGGTCTGACTCTAGGATCTATGCTATTTTCCTGCCTAAAAGCTGGACAAAGGCCGGGGCGCTGCAGGAGGGTGAGGAAGAATTGTCATATTTTACCTTATATAATTGTGCATAGGCACAGACTGTTTTCTAAAACCTAATTTAAAAAGGGGAATATAACTAAATAGCTACAACACAAGAGGCAAACCACAGGCAGCTAATTATCCATCTTTTAAAATGATCCGTTTTCCACTTTAAAAATGATTGGAAACAGTTACTAGGCATAGAGTCAGATTGACTTTGAAATGTCAGATACAAATAATACAGAAACAAGTGGCCTAACAATGTCTTCACACACTGAATACAGTGGTTTGGCCTCTGGAACTAAAATGTGGGAGGTCCCTGCTCTGTACCTGGTGGGGCTCCCCCAAACACCTGCTGAGTGATTCAATAAATGAATGCTAAAGTGGGAGTTCTGGCAGTTCTGGCAACTTCACTGCAAGAGGTACAGTGTCTCCCTGCTAATGGAAGGCAGTGGGGGGTTGGGGGTGGGGGAGGATTGAGTTCTACCAGCCTTATTCCATCCTGCATGTTGGGCAACGGCAGGGCTCTTGCCCAAAGCTAGCGTGATTTATTAAGGGCCCTGGAATCCCTGGGTGAGACACGTTGTGCAGAAAGAATCTGATTACTCACACCTTCCTACTGCTGCCCTTTCTTCAGCACTTTTTCCAGCCCCCCTCTCTCTGGGGCACTGCACTCTTTCTTCCAGTTACTGTGAGTCCCGCCAGACACCTTCCCTTTACGGTCAGAAAGGCAGATGTGAGAGAAACTTCCCTTCTGTTTTTAAAGGCTGCTTCAAAATCCATCCTTGTGGTGGCTCTGGTGTTAGCATTTCATCTGGATAGAATTTTGGCCGCCAGAATGGAAAGAGGGCCCAGGGCAGCCTTTTCTAACGCAGCTTTTGCTTTCTTTGGGAATTTGTTTCTTCCCTAAGAAAATGTTTGAGGCCTGTGAAATGCTTGTATGCCCTGGGTGTCACTGAACAGTAAGAACGGGGAAACACACACACACTCCCCACTGCCTTGTAGACGTGTACATTATAAACCAGCATTTATTTTGTTTAACTCTCAACGCCAACTGTGTAAGGAGAGATTTGCTGGAGGAAGATGTGGCTTGGAAAAGATAAATGTGGGTAGAAAATACACACAAAAAAAAAGGCTCAATAATTTTCATGGAAGAGGAAGAGACGCTGGGGGAATCTGCCTCCCCTGTTTCTTCCCCCAGCTCCCAGGATGGGTAGAGGTGGTCCCAGTGCTGTGAGCCATGGCCTGTACAAGTTCAGGGCTGTCTAAGCGGTAGCCAGAGCCCAGCCCTTACTTTCCTAGTCCCTCTCATACAGCCGCCCATAGAGGGCTGCCGTCACCAGGCCCGAGGACAGTCCACTCTTCCTCAGAAAGTAGTGGTCATTCTCCCAGCCCAGCTGGTCAGGGGCTTCTAGGGTCATCCCTGAGGTCAGAAACAGAGGAAAGATATAGGAAGTACTGAAGTTACCCCACAGGTGGAACTCAAACAACCCCGTGGCCTCTGTGATCTCCTGCCCACAGGTCTCAAAGCCGAGACCCCCACACTTGACCAGGGCGCACACTTGAACATAGTAAGTGCCATGCACGGTGTGGAGGCCATCGAAGACGCCGAGGGCGTACAGCTCTTCGGACACAGTGGGCCTCTGGTAAAGTAAATGGCAGCAGAGGCCGTTCGCACAGACTCGCAGGTGGCCCTCCTTGTCCCACACCGGGACCAGGGTGAAATTGTCATACATCATCTCAGCGTGAAACACGGGAGGGGCATTCATGTTCCACCTAGGGGCTCCATCACAATGGACTTCCTGAGAATCCTTCTCACAGTACGGATCGCCCGCCAAGAGTTTTAAAAACCTGCTATGGAATGGGTCCATTTCCTCTGTGGCATTCTCTGTACCGAGACCCTGTGGGTTTGTGGCTACCTGGGCAATGATAAGGTGACCTGTGAAGTTTTCCGTGTCATGGTGCCAGACGGACTTCAGAGGCGTGTGTATGCCACTTCCAGTCATCCCCAGAGACGGCTGGTGGATGTTAGCAGCCAGCAAGTTGACACCGAAGGCTCTGGCGAAAGCACTCTGAATCTGAATGGCTGCCAAGAGCGGGAGCTGGTTCATCCAGGCGGCCGGAAACACGATGTGCTTCACCTCGGGGTCTCGGAGGAGCTCGATGGCCGGGCGGAAGAACAATATATCAAAGCAGGTAAAGATGCCAAACTTGCCAGCAAACGGGGTATCGAAGATAATGTGGTCCACCTGGGGAGGGGTATCAAAAGCTGCCTCAAAGTAGAGGTTGTACTTGCGGTAGCGGTCTAAGAGGGTTCCGTTACTGCTGAACACGACGTTCGTGTTAAACTGGTATCTTCCATCCCGTGGGCACCCTGGGTCGCTGCTATGACAAGGCTGCTTCGTCCCGAGGTTGGCCACCAGGAACATCCCTCCCTGGATGGCCATACAGCTCAGGCGCTGGAGTACCTGGAGGGGGAAATAAGGTATAAACGAATGTATAAGTAAATGGATTTTTTAACATTCTGCCTTTGGCCATATAATTTTAAAATAGAAAAGTACCTGTATTGTGTCCATAATATGTAAAGAGCTATCATAAATCAATAAAAAGCAACCACTACTAAAATTGTACAAAGGCTAAGAAGACCTCAGAGAAGAACAAATACAAATGGCCAACACACGTTCAGCCTTATTAGTACTAAGGAAATGCAAATTAAAATAATGAGGTTTTTTTTTTACCTTCGTAAGATTGGCAGAAATTCCAAAGATTATTCTGTCTTACATGGACCAAAAGGTGGGAAAACAGGCACTCATACACTGTTACTGGGGATGTAAAGTGAAATAAAAATCTTTGAAACAATTAAAACTGTGCCTATCTTTCTGCTGAGAAATTCCATTTCTAGGACTCTCACCTTTCAGAAAAACTTAGAAATGTTTACAAAAATATGTGTACAAGGATATTCATTGAGACACTGTTTATAATAGCAAGAGTTAAAAAAGAATAAGCATATAGCAGGTTAAAAAAAGGAAATCAATTATAAAATGCATAGAAGAGAACAGATAAAGTTGGATGCACATCAAATTGTTGATGGCAGTTTCTCGTGGAAGGAAAGTAGGATGAGGGTGTGGTGTAGTGAAGGCTGGCTTTCATTTCTTTATTTGCTCTATAAGCATATATTCGTGTATTTCTTGCATAACTGATAAACAGAACGATCCATAGATGAGTAAATGGCTCGTGATATCTGACATTCTTTAACAGGATGAATGTGTGGCACATGAAGTTTGGGGAGTTTGGGTTTCATTTTTTAGGATCCTAGGGTCTCCTTTCAGTCTCATTTCACGTGTCTTGGCTCTTGGCCCCTAGCTCGGTTCATTTCTGGATGCCTTTGACCGACTGAGAGGACGGCTGGGACACTCACACACCTCCGTGTCATTGAATCGGTGGGGCTCCAGGCATGGGTTCCACCTGACCAATGGGGGAGACGGCATGAAGTCCAAAAATGGGTAAATGGATGCTCTTGTAAAGTTGAATCCATGAATGCCATCTTCTGGAAACACTATAATCTGTACACCCTGTAAGTCAAAAACATTCAAGTATACAGCATGTTATCAGATCATGGAAAATACCACTTCATTCATTCATTCGTTCGTTCATTCATCTGACAGCCATCAAGCAATTGCTGTATCCCAGGCAGGACCCAGAGGTTACAAAGCAGTGGCTGAACTCTCATCAGGGATCTTAGTCTTGGGGGAGCTGTCTCACTTAGCTGAATTCTGAGGGAACAAAGACAAAGTCCTCTGGGAACAACCATGTACCTGGGGGCATGTCCAGGGAAGGAGGGTTGAAGGGAGCAGGGGTTTGACAAGCAAACAGTTAGGGGTTTGGAGTCCTTGGCGATGCAGTAGGAGATGGGGCCAACTACAGAAGGCCATAATTATTGGGCTCATTCACAGATGTGGTAGCTCCCGTCCAGGAGTTTTTAACCTTTGTTGTGCACTGAAATCAGATGGAGAGCTTCTTAAAAAGACTCCGGTGTGGGGGTGATGCTGGGGCCCACACTGAAGTCTGCTTCGATTGATTATGGATGGGGTCCTGGCAACAGCATTTGTTTCAATGTTCCCAGGTGACTCTAACGTGCAGCCAAGGCTGCGACCCACGGGGCTGGTGGGTAAGAGTCAAGCATGTTGATTTCAGTATAGAAACAAGGACTTGCAACTTTCCAAGTGGGCATGAGGAGGCTCCCTGCGGAATCCTGACCACACTACAAGCCTTTTCCCACAGCTGGAGACACCTGGGCTCCCTTGATGCCTGCAGCAACCTACGAAACCCAAACCAGCTGGACAGCCCTCAGCTCAGTACCAGGGCCTCATGCTTCTGCTATTCTCCGCTTCCGTGGTTTCAAATGTCAAGCCCGGGATATTGCCCCAAAGTGAACGGGGGGAGGAAGGCAGAGGAGGCATGAATAATCAAAAATAATGGGCTGTATGAGTCACTTATTTCTGGAATGCACTGAAAACTTTCTTTATACATTTTTTTTCTGGTTATAAAATATTCAAAAGTTTAACATTAGGAAACTTGGAAGACAGAAAATATAAAGTAAGAATTCACAATCCTGTGACATAAAGATACTTATTGTTAATATGCTGGCTATTTTCATTCTCTGTGTGTGTCTAATTGAGATAAGTATGAGTTTTCCATCTTGACTTTCTCATTACATAAAACATCAAGACTACAAAGATACCTTAAAAATATCATTTGTAATGGCCACATTTAATTTAAGAGGACACCACAAGTCTATTCTCTATTATTGAAAGGTTGAATTGTTACCAATTTTGGTGATAAAAAGAAAACAGTAATGACCATCTGCATACAGGGTGTTCAAAACACTTCATGAATAATGAGTGTTGTACACAAATCTTTGATTGGATCTCTGATTATTTCTTTTATTGGATCTTTGATTGTAGGTGAAATTACTATGTCAAGGGTAGGAGAAGTTGTATGTTCTTAACATACATTGCCAAGTAGCTTTCCAGAAAAATTACACCAATGGACACTCCTGCAGCAGAGTATGAGATAAATGTAAGGGAACATTTTCGCAAACTTGGAAATAAAGCAAGAGGAAGAATATAAGCCGTTCCAAGATACACTAGGGCACTAATTCACCTCACACAAAGACTGTTTCTCCAGTGAATGTACCACTGTTTGACTTTGCTATTTAATAAAACGTTACACTAAAGACCACAATTTGACTGCCCCGCAGGACAGTGGCTAGTTTTGTTATCTATTGACAAATTCACGACCACATTCATCTGACTGACACACACTATTCTCGGTTAAACCAGCTTTATCATCTTACTAGTTCCTTACTAACTTAATGAGTTCAAGAAGAGCTTTGACACATGTTCATTCTGTATTTATATGACTCATGGTTTTAACTTCTTGAAAATTATACTTGACTTCCTTTAGTAAAAACAAAACTTTGAGAGTATTAGATGATTTTTTAATGGAAAATGACATTGAAGTTATGTATAGATATTAGATTAATATTAAAATTGAGTTGGATGTCCTGAGTACACATCTGCCAGGAATGAGAAGCAGAACCAAACCTGAGCTGGGGCAGAATGTTGGGTCTGATGTATTACCAGTCCTCTGTAGGACCGTTTAGGAAGTAGGTAGCATTCCTGACAAGTGACTTGAGCAACTTTCTGATAACTCAATGAGATCAAGAACTCCTGAGGAATTACGGTTGCCAACCCAGGAGACTGACCAGCCTAATATCTCCAAGCTGGACTCCTTTTCATCCCCACCTGTGGGATGGGAGCTCTGGGCCATGTAGGATGTTTAAGGAGAAACCGGATGTCAGGTTGGGAACAATAGAGAGGAGTGTCACCCATCAGAAGAAGTTGCACCAGGTCTCTAAGCTCCCTTCCAACATTAGGTGTGTGTGTGTGTGAGTTTGCGCACTCACGTGCCTTGTAGGCTAGAATTTTTCAACGTAGTCACAGAGTGCTGTCCAGGCAGTCCTGTCCACCCTGACCCGAGACAGGGATCGTCTGGGGCAGGACCTGTTGGCATGACTGGCCTGTCCCCTAAACTCACAGACACAGGGACGTTCTTCTCACGTGGGGGCGGAACAGGGCTTCCTCCAGCAGCTGGGCTTCCCACCCCACCAACAGGGTTAAACCCCAAACTTCCCTTCGGTTATGGGTTTCCCATCAGGGCATTTTCTTACAGTAACATCTGGCACCGACATTTCCCTCTGCCCCACCCTTCCTGGCAGGCGCTGGCAGCGTGGGCCAAGCAGGAAGCCTCCACAAAGGCTGGCACCGAGCTCCCTTTGTGCCTCGGGGCTCAGTTCTGTCTGCACTGAGTTCTCAGGACTGTTCACGGTCTGGCCCTGAGACCAGAAATAAACCCCAAATCATATAAAGGCAGCAAACAGCAGTTCTGTGGATACCTCCTATTTCAGGGCAACTCAGAATGCCCCAGAAGGCAGGACACGCCACTGTGCCGGGTGGTTTTCAGATTTCCTGCACATCAGAATCCCCTGGGAAGCCTTAAAAATCCCAAGGCCCAGCCCACCAGCCCATAGCCCATCCAACTCTGCAGGCGGGGACCGAGGCACCCACACTTGTTTAAAACCGGCCGATTGATTCCTCCACTCAGCCACATTCCAGGCCAGGGACCCAGCCCTGGCTTCTGAGACTTGCAGTGAAAAGCATCGCCCAGGGATCTTGCTAACATGTAGGTCTGATTCAGCAGGTCTGGGACAGGGCCCACATTCTGCATGCCCCACAGGCTCGGAAGGGCTGCTGCTGCCGCTGGTCCACGGACCACTCTCTGAGCAGCCACACTCTCGCCTACTTTCTGCCTCAGCTCAGCTTCAGCCATCTTTGCAGAGGGGCTGCAGGAACCCCTGACCCAGGGCTGAAGGGCAACTCCCCTGGTTCTGGGAGACAAGCTGAGGCTCTTGCCTTTTGGGCTGCAGTCATCACTTGCTGCTCATAGATGTCCAGGTTCTGGTTCATCAGCTCCAAGGCCTGCTTGCGGCTGGTGAGAGCTAGAGGGTTTGGACTCGAGATCAAATGGTGCTCGTACACCGCGGCCACGTACTGTTGAGTGTCGCCATCCTCCGCCACATCGCGCTCCCCGGTGTGGGCTCCCAGGGCCACCGCGTAACAGCCGCAGAGGAGCAGGGCGAGGGGACTGCAGGCTCCAGACATGATGGAGACCGTAAATCTGGAATGCAATGAGGCCCGGGGAAAACAGCTGAATAAAGAATCCTGCCAGGAACTTCGCTTTGCAACTGTGATTTATTAATTCCCCGCAATTAACCTCACCCGCCGTGGCGCTGCCGCTCAAAGAGTTTGTTTCATGTTCCTAATAAAAGGGTATGTGTTTCTCTCCAAACACGTAGCTGTGTTTAAAACGGCTCGCTGTGTTAATGGTCTGGCTTTAGAACATTTCCAAAACAGACCCAGTGTCTGCGTCACTAATCTCTCCTCTGGCTGCACACTTACGTTTTGGGCAACAATAATTATTCCGATTGTTTCACATGATTCTGTGACATAGTCCACATCCCACAGCCTGCCCTGTATACACACAAGCATACTACAGGTCAGTCACCCGTACCAGCTATGGCTGTCGTGATTCTGATAACACAGCTTGGCTTTCCTAATTGTAAAAACGGGGTGGGTTAACATTCTCCCTGCATTGCTTTAGTTAGTAATGAGTATGAAGGGTAAGGCTCCCTTCACTCAGCGTCACATTCTTTACTTGGTGCAGAGAAACTGCTGAATTCCACACGAATGCCAGGATGGACTCTGTGAGGAATAGACTAGAGCAGGGGTGGGCAACCTTTTTGACTGGAGGGCCACAATGGGTTCTTAAACTGGACTGGAGGGCCGGAACAAAAGCATGGATGGAGTGTCTGTGTGAACTAATATAAATTCAAAGTAAACATCATTACATAAAAGGGTACGGTCTTTTTTTTTTTTTTAGTTTTATTCATTTCAAACGGGCCGAATCCGGCCTTCGGGCCGTAGTTTGCCCATGGCTGGACTAGAAGCACGGGTCGGGTCCTTCGGCCTGGCTGGTGATCAAGGCCTATCGGGGGGTACCAGCCGGCAGGGGGAAGGGACCACAGGAGGTTGGCCTGCCGGTGGGATCGCGGGAGGTTGGCCAGCTGGCCCCCCAATCAGGGCCAATGTGGGGGCCAGCTGGCTGGGGGGAGGGGCCATGGGAGGCTAGCCAGCCGGCTTGGGGAGGGGGAAGGGCCACGGGAGGTTGGCTGTGGGAGCATACTGACCACCAGGGGGAAGCACATGCACTGAGCGTCTGTCCCCTGGTGGTCAGTGCACGTCATAGCGACTGGTCAACCGGTCATAACGTTCACTTAGGCTTTTATATATATAGATAACAAGTCTCCCAACCACACCATGACTTTTCCTCCTTGAACCTGACAATTGCCATTGCCCATCATCACTTCTCAGGCTCTGTCTCTGTGACTCTAAAACTCTTGCTGGAAAGCATACTCATTTGGAAAGAAAAACCTTTTGTAGTGACAAAAATGCAATTTTCTAGAAAATAAACTAGAATTTTCTAAAAAGTGAACTCAGCTTTGTAGTTCCTACCATAAGAGATTAAAAGTAAATTATGAATTATGTCACTTACAATAACACTTCTGTGTACCTTTTTTCCCCCCAAAAAAGGAAATTTTATCCCCCCCCCTTTATATTGATTTTATTGGGGTGACACTGGTTAACAAAATTATACAGGTTTCAGGTGCACAATTCCACAACACATCATCTGTACACTATATTGTATGTTCACCACCCTAAGTCAGGTCTCCGTCCATCACCATTTATCCTCCCTCCCCTTCCCCCAACTCCCTCTCCCTCCCCCCAATCACCACACTGTCTATTATGTGTTATTAAGTGTTTTAGCGTGTAGAGTCCAATTCTGCCTTGAAAATCAGCCTGGCCTCAGCTGGAGCCCCACCCTCGGGGCTCGATTCACCCAGTGGTGTGCCAAGGCCCAGCCACATGCTCTGTGGAGATGTGCTGGGGCTGACCAACTGCCCAGGAATCCGGGTTAAACACAAAGAGAACAAAGACAAATCGAGGAATCATATTGCTGCTCTTTCAAAATAAAATGATGCCCTGCCCAAGTTTGACTCATAATGCCTGTGTTTGCATTTCAAAACCAAATTCTCCAGGCTGCAAATTTCTTTTTTTTCTTCTTCTTAAACGTTCCAGAATCAAAAGTAAACATAATTATTTTCAGCAACAGAACAAGGACTAGGGATGCTCAGTTATTATCCTCAGAAAATCAAATACTTCTCCAAATAAGGCATTCTGCCCCCCAACCCTGCCCCCTCTCACACTGTTGCTTCTTTCCCCAGGGAATAAATGTACCATCCAAATACCAAACCCCAGGACTTGTTGCCATTCATCTGGGACACTGTCCACAATGTTTTAAGATCAGAACAAGGGGCCTTTGAGTGAGCAGTCACGGGATTTTGAGTAGAAACAAAAGTATGATTGATAAGCTTTCTTATCTAAATTTTGCCTCTGAAGACCAGCAAAGAATAATTTTTAAAGTCTCACAATCTATTTTCCATTCCATCTCTGCTTTCATAATGATGATAATGAGGAGTGGTTTTGGGGGGGAAACTTACATTTTCAAAGTCAGAGACACAATATTTCTAAAGTATGAGGCTATGGCCTCACTAAGAAGTGGGGAAACTGAGGCTGGGGTGTGTGTGTGAGAAGGCATTCGAACCAGCGCCTGATGGAGGCAGTCAGGAGTCCCTGGGGCCAAGAGTGGCGCTCACAACAGCCCCATTTCTCAACTAAGAGCTGTTACCGCAGGTCTGGGAACACGGAACATTTGTTGAAGTCTCACAGACTTGCAAGCCAGCAAAACAAGGAAACTGTGGAAACAGCAAGATATCACATTACTCTCTAGCTTGAGAAAATAAAATCTAGCTTATTTGCAAAAGGAGCCAGGCAGGAGAGCAGTAAGTGGCACTTATTTGTGCGTGAACAGAGTTGGGTGATAATAAGGGGTGATGCAGATTCAACCAGGTATTCATGCTTGAAAGAAGCAAGCTTAATGAGGTAGGCGAGAATGAGTAATTACAATAAAAATAGGAATAACAGTTTGCCTTTCTGAAGAGTGGGGAAATAGCCAAACGCTGCCATTTTAACCAAATTTGCAAATGCTGGTTTCCCCTCTTTATTTGACCCTACAGGACTGTCTCAGGAAAAACCAAACAAGGTCGAGGCGGGGACTCTTCTGAAGAACACAGCAGGTTGGACTGGAATGGACAGTTTCCAGTGGTTGCCAGATGCTGGCTCATGACGCCTGCACAGTGGGCTGGGGATGTGGGGGCTTCCTGGGAACAAAGGGGCTCTGGAAAGTCATGAGGTTCTTGGAGAGAAAGCAACCGATCCACCTTTAGGACTGGCCAGGACCTGGACCATAAACAAGATGGTTGCTAGAAGTATTTGCTTGTCTATACAGGTAGCTGTGCTCCCCTTGCATTGGAGGGCACCTGACAGGTGAGACTGAACTTCCATTGGAAGGGTCCAGCATGAAGGCACCATGAGGTGACTGGTGCTTCCATGCCCTGCTTGACATGCTCTGGGATGGGGGCATCGGCCTGTGAGATGCCCTGAGTCCCACTGCTAGCAGGGCCAGGAGGGCTCATGTCTGACATCCATGGGGCACCCGACGGTGTGCCAGATACAGATGCAGGTGTCAGGGATACAGCAGTGAATAGGCCCCGCCTTTCCTCGTGGAGCGCCTGCTCTGGATGTATGGAAAGACGGACAACCACAATCACATAAGTATCTACTGGGCCAGATGACCAATGCAGAAGGCAAATAGAGACAGTGAAGCGGGAGGAAGGACCTGGCTTGAATGAGAATCAGTATGTTCAGGGAAAGGCCTCAATGAGAAGGTGATGTCTGAAGAAGGTGAGAGAGGAGGCCATTTGGATGCCTGGGGAAGAGTGTCCCACTTGGAGCAAATGGCTCAGTCAACCCATGTGTAATCTTCCTGGGGAGGTTCAAGAGACAGCAAGGAGAACAGTTGGCTGGAGCCCAGGGACCAGGGGAAGGCAGGAGAAAATGAAGTCAGAGGGAGAAATAACAGGGGGCCACTCCTGGCCTCCACACACCTCCCTGCAGCTGCCACTGCCCTCTTTGTTCTCATCTCAGTAGAAGGACAGGTGAGATCCAGTTAAAGCCAAAGTCAGTCATGACGCCCCTCTGCTCAGAATTTCGCAGGCCTCCCCCTGCCTGCAGAGTGAAAACCGGAGACCTTCCAGCGTGCCAAGAGGAAAGACGGGGCAGACAGAAAATCCCTGATGGGTGGGAAGAGATCTTCCGGAGTGCCATCTTTAGCAAGCATCCTGATCTTTCAACTGCCCTACAGAGGCCTCTGTTTCTCATTTCAGAATGGAAAAGTATTCCCCCCAATACTAATCCTAACCAGGAAGGTTTCTGTGATCTAGAAGGAAAAAAAACAAAAAGCAAAGTCTAAATCACATGGAAATCTATTTTTCAGAAATTTGGTAACATGTGAATTACCAGATATTTTTACACCCAAGGAGCTTCTTTCCACCTTAAGTGACTCATCCTGATAATTAGCTGTTTCCTTCCTAGCCACTCTAGTACAATAGTGCCTTTTGCAATAATATGAGAGAATTATTATTAAGGTATTCTTAATAAGATAATTTCAGAGGCAGGGATATATATTTAAAGATTATATATAGACCTATTGATCCTGTTAACAAAAGAACTTGTCACTCTACTTGTTGGGGAGAGTAACGATCCTTCCTTGGGAAAGGAGGCAGGAAAAGTCGGCAGAGGAAATGTCACATCCTCTGGGACAAGGCCTGAGTAAGTCATTAGTAATCAGCTGGGTGTATGTTTCCATGTCTGTCAGACAGGAAGCCAAGAAAAACACTGTTCTACACCTATTTTCATGAATTTTGTGATTTCCATGTTCAAGTCCTTTTACATAAGGAGGAGAAATAATATCCATCCTCTTCGAATTTACATAATGAATTGAAAGAAATCCCAAAAGAGATCTTTCATTTCCTAGAAAGCCTCTTGTTTTCTTCTCCCTGCTGGCAGTGTTAGACATGAACTCATCCATTGCCGGAAGCCAGTCCATCCTTGCTGCTTGACAGTCGCTGCAGGGAAGAACAATCTGCACAGCATATGTTT